GGTACGCGAGTCTCGGTGAAAGGCGTTATTGATATTTTATTAGCGCTAATTGCTCGTTTCGACTCATGAGTCTTTCGTCTCCGATCTCACGGCCGATTTGTTGTCGAGGTGAGATTTTGAGAAAAAATGCTGTACGGAGTGAGGCGCTATTAATAATATTGGCAGGCGAGTCTCACTCGCGCTTGTTGTGCTCCTGTAAATCATTGTCCGCTCACTTACGTGTCGAAGTTAGCTTTGTTATGTCAGTTTTTTGTTCTAAACGACCCATCGGAGCTCTGGAAATAGAACGCTCCATGCTCACTTTGATCCTTTTCAAACGTTTCCTTTCTAATTTGGTCTTCGCTATTTCACACTAGACGCGCGTACTTTTATACCATTTTTGGTGTTTCATTCCGGGAATAACTATTCATTCATCGTCTCTTGTTATCTACCACCGCAGTGACATTGAAATTAACTGTCGTATAAAATTAACTTGCGTCGGATCTTTCTTAACGTCATCCATATATTTAAATATTTATTTAATACCTTGATAACATTTGTATTCAATTATTTGAATCGTCCGATATTTTTATAAATTTGATGAAGTAAGATTTATACTGACAGAAAAAGAGAATATCTAAGCAATAGTAAATATTTATTCGGTATTAATAACACATTTACTTATATTAATTATATATATATACTTATATTAATATACTGATTACACTGACAGAAAAAGAGAATATCTAAGCAATAGTAAATATTTATTCGGTATTAATAACACATTTACTTATATTAATTATATATATATACTTATATTAATATACTGATTACACTGACAGAAAAAGAGAATATCTAAGCAATAGTAAATATTTATTCGGTATTAATAACACATTTACTTATATTAATATGTAGAATATTTTTTATATAAGAAAATATATATTTTCTTAAACCTGAAGAAAAAAAAACTTTAGCTTTTCATAAAAGTGATTTTTTGTTTTATTTAAATAAAAAAATTTAGATTTAAATAAACGTTATTAGTATCCACCAGAGAAATATTTACTACTTTTTTTTAGATATTTTTTTTCTGTACATTTCAACAATTAATTTTTTATTTTATTTTGCTTTGTTCCAGAACCAGCATGCCGTTGCAGGACATCACCATGAGCCAGACATTGCCACTGATGAACGGTGAGTGACATCTCTATATGTTTATAGATATGCAATTGTAATTTTCATTAACATAGCATCGCTATATATTAATTCCCAACTAATATTACGATTTCATATTGCGACTAATTATTAAATCAACCATAAACCACGCAAAGGAACGCGTTGCTCACTTTTAGCGTTTCTACATATCGAAAAATTTAAATCAGTCCAAGTTCATCGAGTCTTAAGCTCTCCTCGTTCTTGTCGATCGATACTCTTGGATGATACGCGCGGCATAATTAATATTTCTTTCGTCGGAAGTCGGCGTCCCTAAGAATAGCCGGATATAATTTTACGCTCTATAAAGACGAAGGCGAGGCGGAAGATCGTATAGCGAACGATTACACTCGTATTTATTATTTACGACCTCGTAGCGACGATTACATCAGATATCGGCAGATATCTCGATGAATCGGCCCGCCACTTGAAGTTGAGTCGTCATCGATATTGCGGATCATAATGGGATGCTCGTTTGTGCAGCTTTTTCCCTTGCGCGCCCACCTTTATTAGTCATTTCCCTTAAGTAATTGAACTCTCCCCCCCCCCTCTTGCTCGTTTTGTTGCAATTACAGCTGCAGATGTGACGCGCGTGTGATACTGCATTAAGTCGTGCATCAATTATAGCGCTCCCAGTTGACGACCATTTGTCCCAATCGTGCGAATGAAAATCGGAATTAATTTATTTCGAGTGTCATGCGCGAATTACCGTACTGTTTCTCTCGATCATCTATTTACTTCGCGTTCTTACGATCCACGACACCCGGGCATTATAGATTGAACGTTGAAATTTTCCGTCAACGCTGTCTGCCCGCCAAGCCAAACAAGAACTATTCTCGACACAGGATCCATAAAGTCATGTGGCTTATGTGCATGACTTAAATGCCACGAGCAATCAAACGCGAATGAGTTAGCTTAACGTTCGACTCGTTAAGATTCGTGTACATCGAGAGCGTATACTGAGAAAAAAATATCTAAAAATTAATAAATATCTATTTAATGCTAATAATGATGTGCTGACTAACACACTGCACATCTAATTATATTAATATAAAATATGTGTCAAACAAGAAAATCTAAATTTTTCTAAAACTCTGGAAAATCATAGTTTTTCATAAAAGCAATTATTTATTCTATTATTAAATATAAGAGAATGTAAATTTTTAAGCAAATATACTGTCAGTTTACCCAAATAAATATAATACTTACTAATTTTTAGATATTTTTCCGTTCAGTGTACAACGAACAAATAGCAAACGCGAATTTCTAGGCATTTTCGAGTAGAATTTCGCGGATAGTGTAACAAATAAATATTCAATTAACATTTTATATGTCTAAACTTTCTCCGATACATGTATGTTTGATACATATTCTTTTCAGAAGTAAAAAGGTTAAATAACATTAATTATTCTCAGAACTTTTTTACATTTACATTAGAATTTTTTTTTCTACGTTTGGACGTAAAATCGAATCGCTGCTTTTGTAATTTAGTTTTCTGTACGTGAAGTGAAATGAAATATTGGGTAAAAGGAGAATACTGTGTCGCGAAAGAGACCGACGTCTGTGAATGATCTTCAATGCCGCGTTTGCGACGACGCACGAATTATCCCAATTGTAAGACCTCCCAGTAAGAGCAATCGCTTAAATTCTCTGTTAGTTCATTGCTCGACTCAGTGGTACATGTACCTTTAGAGGCCATGTAGAGACGCGTAGGAGGCCTCCTGTAATTTACGCGCAGCGCGGCATACGACTCGTTACTCCCATTCGCACGATCTGCATTTTCCGCCGTTATTTGCTTCGTCGCGGCCGATTGTGCGGAGCTGCCGTTGTGTACGAATCAGCGAGAACAAGGCACGTGACGCCGTGTCTGCCTAATTGTATCTCGCACCGTGTAGCGAGGTCAATGAACTTTCTTAGCTTGCGGTTTCACTCTAGCAAAGACGCCGGGCGTCGTCGCCGAACGGGGATAATATAATAGTAATCTACTCGTCGTCTACTCTGGATTCGTATGATGTGTCTGCCAACTTTTACACTTCCGCGGTGAACCTATCTGGCGGATCTGTTAGTGGGATCCGCGGTATGCAAGCTTTCTTAGGAAAGGAGGGAAATTAGAGATTTGGCTAGCGATCTGTGAGAACGAAAAAAATTGCAGGGAGCTGAATTATCAATAATAATTTTGGAGTAATTTTTATTAGAATTGGAGACTTTAAGAAATTAAAAATTTTAAAAAAGGAATATATCATTCAACTTTCGCTCATGTGGAAAACATATATATCCTAAAGAAATACGACTGTTAGTTTTAGAGAAGTAAAAATTTTGCCAAAGATTCGTGAGAACAAAAGAAATTTTAGAGAGCTGAATTATTAATAATAATTGTCGAATAATTTTTTGGTAGAATTAAAAAGTTGTGTTTGAAAAATTAAAAAAAGATTAAAGAATAATAAATATTATTTAACTCTTTCCTATAGAGATATGTATACTCCAGATAAATTTGACTGTTAGTTTTATGTTGAGCTTAATTATTAATATCGTTACTTGAAGAATAGCGAATTGTAATTTTTATTAATAAGTAAATTTTCTGAGTGTCTACTATTAAAAGGTAAAGCGCTTTCGATTATTGAAAACATATTTAGAGCTAAAATAGAATTAAGAGGGAATTAATAATGGGAAGTTCCATTAATTATCGCCGTTCTTGAGCGATATAATAACTTGTAATATTCGTGTATAGATGCTCATAAAAGTTATAACTGTCCAACGACCCAAATATTACGAATCATCACACGTCATCGTACCAGCCTATCAGTGCTCGAATTATAGCAATTGGAGCACATCCGCACTTCGATTTAACTCCTAAAGGGATCTAAAATGGTAAAATGGCCAAGGTCATGGGTGCGTTACACATCGCAAATGAATTAGGGTGCATAGGGTGCAGTTAACTTAAACGACGTCTTGTAATGTCGCCAAAGTTATTGTTCGCGCGATCTGAAAAATGTCTGTCACGATCTCGTGTTACAGGAAGCTGTAGCATTTATTTCGGTGATCCAGCAGTACGTTGGTGTCGATGGGGAAAAACACACGAACGACACACATGTATTAGAGACGACGAGGAGAGACGTAGCGTATTTATTTCTGTAACGCAAGAGGAATATATAATTTTACCGTTTATTCGCGCTCTTGTGACTTCGCGAAAATCATTTTATTTTTAGTTATAACTAAGAGAAAATAGCAAACAATTTCTCACGTTTGTAGAAACTGTTTTGTCTTTCCAAATTTTCAACGCGGCGCCGACTTTTTGTGTTTAATTGTAACCCGCGATATAACTCTTGACGAATACACAATGTTTGAAATTTACAAAAAGAGAGAAAAAGACTGGAAGACCATTAGCGCTGTGAGTACTCCTAGGAGCCATAAAATTTCGTTAAGTGATGTCTCGACAGCCAGACCGAGTAGTTTCGATGGTGCTCAACCTCTTTGAGCATCACTTGAGATATTTATATATATATCTTGCGTGTATACATTACAATATAAATTCACTGAGTCTATGTGTGATATAAGATACGCAAATTTTTCGCGACGCGAAACGATTGAATTTTTTAAATTATGAACGCCTTGTGCTTTGCTTTGTGCGGTGCTTGTTCGAAGAGATTCATATTTTAAAAACTTATAAAAATCATTCTTTATTGATTAAGACGATATGTATCGTACGCTTCGCAATCACACACACATGGTGACATACGACTTAAGCAGACGCGAAGTCTCTTGGAGTACGACCGGGTGCCTACGTCGAGCTACAGACGAACACGTGGTATCGCGTCCTACTACTTGGTCTCTCGAAATAAACGGTGAGATCGTTTATTTCTAATCCAAATCTACCGTAGGAATTATTGGCCAGCTCCTTGTTACCCGGAGACGAGCGAGCCAAAGCTTCATCTACAATTTTGCATCGCTCCGTTGGAGATAAGTGCCGGCCGCGTAAAGCTCAACGGCGCTCAATAAGAAGCTATTTCACAGATGATAGTAACGCGGGATGACTCACATATATATAGAGGAGTATTGTTTGCTTCGAATATAATGTATTAATAGACAGAGATATCCCCAGAGAGTAATAGGCACAATCAGCCTAAATAATGTATCGGGAGATGATTCGATTTTTCGTCGATCACAAAACCAGAAAATCAATTGTTGAAATTATGAAATTACGAGTGTAATTATTTACCAGTGAGATCAGCGAAGAGTTATCTCTATTTGCTTTGGCAGCAAGCTCTGACATACTGATGAATACATTGCCAAATTATTTCATTATCTCGGATCTTTGTCTTTCCTCGCATTATTAGCTAACAAAAGCGAGGCGATGCGGTGCAGAACTATCCCCGTTAAAATCGAGGGTAATGGTCATTTCTGCCCGGTGGCGAAATTTTAATTGCTCATCAAACTGACCAGGTTGGAGGTCTGGACAGAGTGGGGAAAATGGGAGAGAGAGAGACCGCGGCAGAAGCGGAGGCTGACCTGCCAAAATAAAGATAGTTTAAACCGTTCTGGCCTAAATGTGTCATCTATAAATACGCGAGAGCTCGCTCGCGCGGTCCCACCGCGGTGCGAATCCCCCGGTACGAATCGATATCGCAGTTGCATCGCCGAAAATCACGGGTCCGTCGCGCGAACGATCTGACAGGAAATAGATTTGTTCCGGTGCGCGCACAAAGCTCTCGAGTCCCTTTTCTACTGCGTTTCCTCGAGCCTCTCTCGGGCTTTTTACGCAAGCTGTTAAGACACCACGTGACGTTTGCGATGGCCTCCGTCGATGACAGGCCAGATGTAAATTTACTCTCATCTTCAACGTTTCGACGTCATTAACTCTCGCGTGACCCATCCACGCGAGGTCTTCGTACTCGTAAAACGCGTCGTATCGTGTAAAAAAAACTAGACTAAAAATTTCGCCTTATCCAATAACGTTTGTTGAATCAACGATGTTGCGGGATGAAACGTCTTATAAGTGCCTATTTGCTGATAACGATGTCCCCGTTTCAAATGATCGAGTAGCAATACAATTATTGCTTTTTGATGGAGCAAGATTTACATATTTCTTTGTAACGACACTCCCACTCCCGGTAGTACCGTGTCACATTTAAGAAGGAAACGTGACGTCGGGGTAGAATGACTTCGTCGCGGGTAATTTTGTTCCACGCGACAGCGTGACATTTTGGGTACGAAGGGCATGGGGAACGTGTAGATCGTTAATTAGACGAGATGATTCACTCGTGTCCCGTACGGCAGAATTATCGCTTCTAAGTAGCTTCGCGTTATGTACGCGGACTTATCACACGAGAAGTCGCGAACTATCAATAGACAGTACTCGCGAATCTACGATACTTTCAGTCGCGTCGAATATGCTCTTTGTCGCACATATTTTGATATATATTTTTCTTATTTCTAGACTCTTTAACAGATAATTCATCCAAAGATTTATTTAAAGCTTTACTTAATGATTCGCTTTGTTGCAAAATTTTACCTCGGCAGAAAGATTCGAATAATACAATTTATAGGCATATCGCTGATTCAAGACACGGCTCCATTCCGGAAGCTATATCTAGACATTGTATCAATGGCCGTGAAAGCCTCAAATCTAGTAATACAATTTCTGTTTGTAGAAAGATTTGAGTCTGCGAGAATTGTTCAGGTATGAACACGTTTGGACGATAACGGTCCGCATTGTGCGGATTGCAATGCGAAATTTCCCTTATTTTATTATCGCTTTGCTATACAAGATGGTCTGTCGATCCGAGAGCACGTGTGTGCCCGTCCTTCGGGAGATGTATTTATATAGTATAACATGCGCGTTTAGAACATAATTTTAACCACGGATTGTAGCCTTGTGTCTCTGTCGCTGCTTGTTATTCTGTCGCAGTTAGTATTTGTGCAGCCACCGTGGGGTTTCTTTTGCGGCGTAGTGTCTCGCTCGGTTCCTTTTACGATTTCGTACTGACGTTTAAAAATGTAACGACTTCAAAAACGCGTTCTTCGTGGAATGGGATGTGGTAGGTCGCAGCTGAGAACTTCTTTCCTCCCTGAGGACCTTGAGAAACCCTTGAAAAACAAACCCGTCAAGATCGAAGTCATGTTCGGTAGGATGTTTTCCCGAAAATTTACAATTTCCCGATATGTGCATGTTATTTAAGGAATCTCTGTTTAAAATTGAATCGACGTAGAATGTTAACGAGAGTACACTGAATATCGATAAACTTCGATTGTGTGCGCGGTCGCGATTGTTCCTAAAGAGTAGTAAAACGGCGCGATTAATTCATAGACAGTGTAGCAGCAGATCGCAGAAGAGGAATTATTTGCTCTCTGATCGCCAGCAATTGCCGACAAGTGATAAATGAGCGCACATAACTCGAAAGACTATTCAGCGGTATCTTTTCAACGTGTAAACGTGTCGTAAGAGAGGAAAATAGAGAAGATAAGCGTTAATTCTTCGAGCGATAATCGTTAGAAAGTACGATGTATGTACATGTGAAGAACGCGTGCAATTCTTTCTGAGACTTGGCTTGAAAATGTGAAGAAAATATGGTAATATATCGATGCAGGACTTAAATACGCGAGTTATTCCGGAATGTCCGCTGTCCGATACGAAAGTGTTCGTACTGCAGCATCGTTCTGGCGCGCAATATGATGCGCCAAAATAATTTAATTTCATAGGTGCACGTCGACGGCGCCGGTTCATCCTGTAAGGTGGATTTGGCACCGGTTGCTCAGACAGGCTGAGAATAGACTGATTTAACCGACAGATGCTTGTCCAAAGAATTATCCTAAAAGTAGCGCGCGATTATTATTATTATATACGAGAGCTTTTCTTATTATATTTTGCATAGAAACCTGAAAATCTTTTCTTAATTCTAATTGCGAGCGTAAGACATCTGATAAGAAATCAAGCATTAAAAATTATCGGACGATGCTTTCTTGTTTTCATCGCTCCGTTCGCGTAGAATCCATTCAGGGGAGAGTCGAGAACTTCGACATGAATGATTTCGGGTTTAACGCGGTCGTACGGAATATCGCGGTCGTTCAAAATTCGAATCTCGTAAGCATGTATCGGAGATGATGCAGCCAAAGCTGGAAACGTGATTATTCCGGTGATAAACAGAAAATTCAATTTTGCAAGAGCGAACCTAAGATTATTTTCTAACCTTGCACGTAATATCATCATATTGCTTTCTTTTTCTCACAAGGTACTGGAATATTGTCGGCGCAATTTAATGTGAAAATTAATTATCTATAATAGTTTATCTATAATAGTTTATCTAATACAACTGCATCGATTAAATAATTATATTTACAGATAAAATATTTGAATTATTTAAGCATTATGCATAGAATAGCAAGCCGTTTTCTCGATATTATGAATTGCAAAATCTTACATTATCACGATTATACGGTGGCCGTTGTAAACACATAATTAACGAATTTAAATTCAATTCGCGAACACTACTTGTTTCAGGTGGAAACGCAGCACCATATGGTACAAGCTCTGTTGGAACCAAAGACGGAACGTCGATGGCAGGATTGGCAGGTTGGAGCGGAGGTAGCGGCGGCGGAGTCGGCAGGACCATGAAAGAGTACGAGGATCTGTTAGGAAGCTTGCAGAAAGAAAACTTCAATCTTAAACTGCGAATTTATTTTCTGGAAGAACAAGCAGGCATCTCTCAGACTGATCAGGATGTGGTTAAGAAAAACATAGAATTAAACGTAAGTTATATTCAGATAATTTTTGCAGGAATTATTTGAGAATATTGCATTGAATATAAAGATACATAACATAAATTTATTAAGAAAAGTCTATGTAAAATTTGCTAAATTTTTGAAATCCATGTATGGTTAAATTCTGTCGAGTCTTAATCTCTTATCGAATTGATCCAATTGCCACTAATCGGTATGTTAACGTTTTTTAGGTTGAGATGGAATCTATGAAGAAAGAATTGGTGGAGAAACAGGAACTTCTCAGTCAAGCAGCGAAAGCTTTTGAATTAATTGAAGAGCAGAAAGAAGCGACTGCCCGGGATCAAGCTCAACGACAACAATTATTCGAAAAAGAACGAGAGAAAGTGGTCAAACTCGAGAAAGGTTAATATAAAGCAACTAATTTACTTCTACAACTATTGCAAGAAAACTTGAAATTATTTTAAAATTATAAGACTTACATATTTGTAAAATTTATTTGTCCTGCTGTATACATCTATTATATGTCTATTAAACTAAATTGTTTTTGTTTTTTCTTTTTTCAGAATTAGCAGAGTACCGAGAAAGAGATGTAAACTCATCCATGTACTACAAAGAAGCATTCGGCATCATCCCGGAGCAAGCATTGGAAAACGTAGAAAAATTGCAACAGATGGAAGAATTGGTGGCGTCTCTTGAAGCGGAGGTATGCTGGTATAGAAATTTAATGAGAACTAATACATTAAAAAATTTATATTCTATATCACTTTTATACATAAGAAAACTTTGATAAATTATCATAACTTTTGTAAACTTTCACATTTCGTAATTTTTTTAAACTTTTTATTAATATTTCTTTTATTAATAAACAAGAAACTTTCTTTTTAAATTTTGGTACTAACATTAAATATACAAGTTATATATATATATATATATATATATATATATATATATATATATATATATATATATATATATATATATA